TTTTTTTGGTTTTTCTCCGGTACCGGGAACCGAACTCATGACCTTGCGCTTGCCAGGCAGGCGCTTTTGCCGCTGAGCTAAATCCCCAGCCCCAATCTGTTTATTTTCGGAATGAATTTGTTCTAGTCTATGTGCTCAGTCCCTTTAGCTACAGAAATGCTAACAAGAACAGGCATCATAACTGATATGATGTTTTGTTTCCATCAACAATGGAACTAAAATAACATAAATGTAGGGCATGCTGGTGCAAGCCTGTAATCCCAGCACTTGGGAGGCTGAGGTAGGAGGATTGTTGTGAGTTCGAGGCCGGTCTGGGCTACAAAGTGAGCTAAGGGAAGCCTGAACTGCATAGTGAAACCCTGCCTCAAAAAGACGAAAAAATAAAAAATAAAATAAAATAACATAAACAATGCTAGGTACTTTCCCGAAAGTTAAAGTGGAATATCAGTGATTTCGACACAGATTTACTTTAGCAACTTGTGATTTCACCCATGGGAAGAATTAAATATAATATTTTACAGTATGAAGTTATTGCTTTTAACACACATTATTAAGAATTTGGTTTTTGCATTCACAGATGTTTCTATTGTCAACTTCAAGGGTTGAAATGGCATTTGATAGCCAAAATCACAATGCCAATTTAATTGGTACCACCTAGCCCTGAAAGTTACACATCAAATAAATTTTATATGGACATTTATACCACAAAACATTATAATTCATCTATTGTGACATATTCAAAAATAGCATGAAAATGTGTGGTAACCATTATAACTTAAAACAATTACATAGATAAAATTAAACTTTGTATACTGTATAGGAAATTAAAAACATAAATCAGTCATAAAATGTCATAGAAATACTGAAATAGCCTAGAAATTAAGCACAGAAAACTGATTAGAATCTTCTGGTATTTATTTGTTGTCTCAGGTAAGACACAGCTTAAAAATGAAATAAACCAGCACTCTCATTAAATCTTCTATAGTTTATGAAAAATGTGGAAGATCTTCAAATTGTGATATTCACTATTTTGTGTTTAAAATGTAATATGGTCATAGAAGTGAAAAATTACATTTAAATAACTGAAAAACAAATCAAATTAATGAGTTACTCTTAATGTAATAAAAAATCATTTAAGCAGAGAAAGTGTAAGGAATATCCCAAGCAGAAGTCTGTACTATTATGAAGAATATTTTGTACCTCGTTATATGTCCAAAGCCTTCTGCTAAGAAAGACAGTAATTTGCAGAATAAGAATGAGACTGCTGTTGTGTCAATGCACAAAGTTCTCAGTAGCTTCAGGACTTGATGTCTTATAATGGGCACCAAAATGTTTAATAACTTTTGAATTCAGACTATCTGAAAAATTTAAAATTCTTAGGTATTCTGGTGTCTACATATTTATTCCGTGTAAAAATACTATCTGGGCTTTTAAACTCAAACAACAGACGTGGGGACAGGTGAGGATTACTCAACCCTTGAGGAAGACTGGAATTCTGTGACAGGTGGAGTTAATGCGCACTGTCTTTTTTGCAGTCTATCACAATGCAGTTGGGGGGTTTAAGAATATGCACTTAATGGCCACTAATTGACTGAGTGAACTTGGGCACATAAACAACTGTGCTAAGCTTCAGGTTCTTTATCAGACAAAATTGAGAGTAGGAAGAGGCCCTAGTGCTCAGGTTTCTGTGAAGACTATCTGAGATCACACTGATGTAAAACTTAGTGAGGTTCCTGGCACAGGAAGCACAACAGATGCAGAAAAGTGGTTGTAGCGAATATTGCTACTCTAATCCCTCTTAAAGGGTTTCAGGAAAGAACACACCTTAAAAGACTAATATATATATATA